GTCTAAGTAGATGTAAGTGCATGTGGGCAACTGAGGCAGAGTTGGGGGGGGGGGGTCCATCTTCTTCTTTCCCTGTCTACTGATGGGACTTTTTCCCCCCCTCACTCTCTGAGCTTTGAGGGTTGAGAACATGGAGGGAAGGCTCTGTATTGGTCCCCGTCATCTGAGGCCCAAGGGCCCATCTGCAGCAGAGGTGGCATTCAGTGCCCACTAACCATGGGTAAGCCCATCCCAGTATTGCCCTTTGAAAGCAGACTGTAGAGAAATTTGTTAGAAGATCCAGGCCTAACCTCTTTTCTGACCTGCTTGAGAAAGCGGAAGGGGATGTCAGCATTTACCAGTTTGCTTGTCTTCCATTCCTGCCAGGAAATGTTTATTTGCCTCTAATTGGACCTGAGAGACCTCAGGGAGGTTGGGGCTCACTGAGGGGTTGGCTGAGGATGTGTAAAGCAAAAGCTATGAGAAGCAGCTGGGAGTTTGTTGTTGTTGGATTGAATTTCCCCCCTTTTCTTTTTTTTGTTTCTCACCCATAACTTGAGCCAGGGCAGCAGGTCCCAGTGGTTGCGGTAATGGGTGTAATGGCTGCCGGACTCTTGGTAGGCCTGGCACCAGTGGAGGTATATACTGAAACTGCCGCCAAATAACTTGAGAGGCTTTATCCAGCTCTGGTTGACCCTGCGCAACTGAATTGGACCTGTCCTTCCAGTTTATTGGAGGAAGGGGATTCTCTTCAATTTCCAGGGTGTCTTAGGATCCAATTCCTCATGTTAGGGAAGAAGACCAAAGCCCATATGTTTTCTTCCTCATGGAATTGAGCCTGTCATTTTCTTGGTTTCCCACATATTGGATAGGAGTGTCACTGAGGCTGCAGTTTCCTCACCTCCGCTCCTGAGGAGGTGGCCATTTCTTCTTGAGCCTCTGGCTCTAGAGGTTCTACCCTTTCAGGGCTATTCCCTTTCTCCTGCTAGTTACCAGGTATTACCAGTGAGCTACCAGGTCTGTGGGGGGCCAGAAAGAGGCTCTCTGGAGAATCCAGGGAAACTGGGAGCCTAGGAGTTGCCCATCCTTGGTTTCATCCCTCCCTTGGCTCCTCTCCTTTTTTAGGCCATAATTTCCCTGGTGCCAGCTTCTTTTTCTCCTGGGGCATCCTTATCCCTGGGCTCTCTGCTGCATATTGGCTGTGCTAGCTTCCAGTAGGCCACTGGCAAGGCCAGTGGGATCTCTGCAAGCCCTAAGCTGAAGAAATGAGGGCAGTTTCTGCCTCTACTCTGGCTTCCCCAAAGCCCTAGGGGTGCAGTCCTTAGAGGAGAGGGTCTACAGATACCATATTTGAATTCTATTACTTTAAGATCTGGAAAGTTAAACTAGTTGAAACTGTCATCTTGCTTCCCAGTCTAAGCACCCATGACCCTGGTACAAACCTTTTCAAGAAATGGTTCATTTTGCTTTACACAGTAGATCTGTTCCAACAGTTCTGTGTAAGCCAGATGCTATTTTGCGATGCATTTGGACTGCTGACCATTTTAAAAGCAGCCTGTGTGATTGCTTCTTTTGTAAAGCAAGCAACCTCCCTCTACTTTAGCTGTTTTGACTATTCGATTTTCATATATTGGGCTTACCCAGAGTGGAGCACACCTTTACAGGGCTGTGGTTGACGCTGGGTAGACATCTGCATCTGTGTTGTGTGTGTGGTGTGGCTGACCAGTAGGTGAGTATTCCTGCGTGTGTGAGTGAAGCCACTCCCAGGCTGGTGCTCTCCTCCTGTGCCCGGTGACTGCCCAGTGGCAGCTCCAGCTGCCCTTCACTCCCACCTGCTGCCAAAGTCCCTGTGCTAATGGGATTACAAATACAAAAAGTGGAAAAAAAATTTTCGTAAACTTTGTTTTATATTAAAAAAATCCATTAAGTCTGTGTGTGTTAAACATGAGGTCCTGCCTCTGTGGCTGTGTTTGAAAAAATAAAGTTTTATTAGAATAATTCATTTTCCCAAGCAATCTTGTGTACTGCAGTGTCTTCTTCCCTTCTCCACAAAAAAAGGCAAGGAGGAAGCAGGGAGAAAGCTACCTAACTCTAACAGCCCCCTCCTCTAGTGCATGTCTGGGCCTTCACCCTTGGAGAGCAGTATCTGATCCTTAGGCCCTTCAAGGCATGGCAGTAATATCCTGGGGTCCAGGCTTGTGTTAGGCCTTGGTTATTTCTGGCAGTCTGATTTGGTCTTTGTTTCCCTGGTACCTATCTCTTCCCTACGGTCACTCTTCCAACAAGTTGAAGTCAAGTATTTATACATTCTAGTTCCCTGAGAAATGTTTGATGGTCCAGTCAGGAACTTGTCTAGATTGGTTTGTAGGCTTTAGGAAGTGGGGAGAGAAAGCAGACTGAGAGACTTGACCAGGAATCTTTTTCTAGGAGTTTTCACATCTTATACCCCAGAGAGATGGAGATTTCATCATCAGAATTCAGATTCTAAAGACCTAGGCAATTTCTCCATTCTAAAAATTATCCTAACAGCAGAGCTTCTCTTTTATTCTAGAAGTTGGTATTTTCCATAATGCTTCAGTTTGGGTTGTTCGTATGTTAAGGGAAGCTGTGTGGTTCATTCTCTTTAGACATTGCTATTGCACCCTTTCCCCTGTGTTAGCATTCTTCCAATTTGTGTGGGTGAAATGTAGTTGCTTAGAGATCCAGGCAGGAGCCTCTGTCCCTGAGGCATAGCCTTTCTTTACTACCAGTTGTGGTGCTGACTTGCCAGGCGTAAGAAGAGTCAAGTTGCTTAGCCTCCGTCCCAGTTTCCTGCTTCAAATTTGTGGCACTCATTGTTGAATACCAATGAAGTGTGCAGGAGGACAGGATTGGCTTGATAACCTGGAGCAGGAACTTTTGAGGGGTTGAAAGTACACTCCAAAAAAGAGGGGCAGTTGTCGTCTGCCCCCCAAACAAAGGAGGGGTTTTGAGGAGCGTGGGGCTTTGGCATGTGTTTAAAGGAGGCTCAGTATTAGAAGTTTTTCTCTTTCTTTAAAACTGCTGCTGTTTCATTTCACCTACTGTTTGAGCAAGGGTAAAGTTTGAACATCTAAAGTGACTTTGCTTTTTTTCCCTTTATGTTCATTTTGTTGTTGTTGTTAGGTTTTTATACTGTTTATTTTCTGTAAGGCAAAGTGAGATTTCATTTTTCATTCCTGAAGTCCTGCTAGTATAGGAAAGAATGTAAATTCCATGAGGACAAGGGTTTTGTTTAATGTTGTATCCCCAGCACATTGAAAAGTTACTGGCACATGAAAAGGCCTGCCATATTTGTTGAATGAATTTCTCATCTTTGCCTTCCCATCCCTGAACTTAGAATTAGTTAGAACTTAGAATTACTGTCTCTGGTGCTGAGAAACCAGTTTTGAACACTGGGGCAATAATTAGAGCTCCATACAGGAGAAAATCCCAACAGTGAATTTTGGTAGAAAACCTGAAGGGCAGCCACCAGGTCTTAGGAATTCACCCTTGTTCTCCTCTTACCAACTATAGTTTGTGGGCCATGTGCTTTGAGAGATGTCTCTTGGCCCAGGAAAGCATTCTGATTTAGGCCTCAGGTGAGATGGAAGTTCCAAGGAATAGGGAGAGAAAAAATTCAAGGAAATGTTTCCTTAGTGCTCCACAGGGTTAGTTCTAGAATGACTTCCCAAGAGGTTTCATACTTTTTCTAAAGTCAGTAGTTGCTGCCTGCTGCCTTTTGGAGCCCTGGACCTTTGCTGCAAGAAAAGTATGTCAAGGGTAAAGAAAAGATATGGACAGGAGTTAACTGTGTAGGCACATAAGTCTTAGAGAAAGAACCAGCTACTACTCTGTCTGTAGGGCAGATCATTGAAAGAAATGGTCACTTTTAGGATAACAAGGATTGTTTCTAGACCCTTTGTCTTTCTGGTTTGTATCTATTTCCATATATACTCATTCTGCATCCATAAAACTATGCAACCTGTGCTAATCTCATACTACCAATGGTAATGATTGAGGTTTCTCATTGCCTGTTATGCAAGACCATCTGGGCCAAAATTTGAGTATCTCCCTTTCTCTACTGTCTCTTTTCTGCCAGGAGTTATCAATCTCCCATACCTATATTAAATGAATTGAGATGGGAATGATGGGGTTTTCTTTGCCCCCACTCCCACTACTTCCTTGGTAAGATGAGGTGCTACTGAAGCAGAGAAGAGAATCTCTTTATTGCTGGTCTCATTCCAGTTCCCCTCAAAGTTTAACTGAGAAATACCTGTAATTAATAACACTGGCAGACTTGGAAAGGGAAGAAGTTCCATGACTTTAGGTCAAAATACCAGGATGTTGGAAGCACATGGGCCTTCACCCAGTGGGAAGAGTGGTATTACAACCTCTACAGGATGTAGGTCATTGGTCAGTTGGAAAGGAACCCATGAGGTACTGGTAGTATAGAATAGGATGGTACTATGTTATGGGCCAGTGAGAAGAAGGATATTGTGTCCCATGGATCAATGGGGAAAGTTTCCTAAGAGATAGTGACAGAAATGGTAGGGCCTATTTTCAGGATAGGAAATCAGTAGGTATCGGGGCGCTAACTGCTTGGCTCAAAACACCAACCCTAGGTGCCTTGCCCCTGAACCACCCCCCCCGCCCCCAGTAAAAGTCTTTGGTGTCCAAGGCGGCTAAGCTAAAGCCTACTCACATATGGTACCCCCCAGAAGGAAGGTTGGGACCAGGATGGTGCCATGGAAGACTGAAGGACCCGCCCACTTCCCCACCCCGGCCGAAACTGCAATTCCCCTCCCTGCCGCAGGGGGCACTGCAGGCCCCGGGGAGGTTGGGGCGGAGCGCTGCGAGGGGCCCGGAGCTGCCGCCCCGCTCCGGAGCGCGGGGGGCGCTGTGCGGGGCCCGGGCTGCGGCTCCGCTCCCGGCCACGGGGGGCGCTGCGCGGCGCCGGTGGTTGGTGGTGGCTGTTGGGGGGGGGGTGGGGGGGAGCCGCGGCCGCGGGTGGTGCGGAGGGAGGCCTTGCGGGCGGATCGGGCGCTCAGCGGCAGAGGTGGTGGGAGGCGGCGGGAGCGCGGGTCTGGCCGGCCCTGGCGATGGCGGACGCCGCGGCCTCCCCGGTGGGCAAACGGCTGCTGCTTCTGTTCGCGGATACCGCGGCCTCGTCCTCGGCCTCGGTCCCCGCGGCGGCGGCGGGCGGAGATCCGGGGCCTGCGCTGCGCACTCGGGCCTGGCGGGCCGGCACGGTGCGGGCCATGAGCGGGGCGGTGCCCCAGGACCTAGCGGTGAGTGGCGGCCGAGGCGGGCACTTGAGGCCGGGGCTGCTGGGCCTGCGGGCGGCCTCCCCGGGGGCCTTTGTGAGGGGGCGGTGGGATGGGGGTGACCCAGTTCTGCGCCCCCAGATCTCCTTAGCGCCCCCCACCGGCCCCTCAGCACCCCTTGCTCTGGCCGGCATGGCTTCCGCGTCGGGGTGCGCGCCCCGGTTTCCCCCGGGGGGGCAGCCAGGGCGCCAGGAGCTGCCGCCTCCACGCGGGAGGCCCCGCCTCCTGAGGGACCCCTTTCTCAGCGTCCCCCCCCAAACACGCCTTGGGAGCAGGCTCCCGAACCCTGGGAGCCCGGGCCCCTCAGAGTTCGACTGGTGCTGTAGCTGCGTCCTGAAAGACGCGGACCTGTAGTTCCCAGCCTCCCTGGAAACCTGCGCCCTGTTCCCTTCCTCCCGGAGCCCCGAGTGGGGCGGGAATGTGGGCAATTGTGGGAGGCACAGAGGCTGCAGTCGGAGCTGCTCGGGGCTTTTTTATCTGGCAGTTACTTCCTCCTTGTTTGAGCCGGGCTCGGCCTGGCGGTCTCCAGAAAGGCCAGCTCTTGGGATTCTCTTCGGGCTCCTTTTTCTTTGAGCTTCTGGGTGACAGGAGCTGCAGTTGTGGCTGTTTTTGATAAGTTTGAGATGTGCCTTAGCAGCCGAATGGGGCTGCTAGGTGGTGCTTTTTTGCTCCCTGCTCGGCCCTGGGAGAGGTTTTGTTTTGAAACTTTGTGTTGGAGCTTGGGTGCTTTTGAATACTTGCCTTGGTGTATTTTGTGATTAAGTTCAGTAAAATAGAACTTAACTAGTATTTGGGTGCGTTGTGTTATTTTTGCTAATGTGGCGGCAAAATACTGTCTTTGAGCTTTGGCAAGCCCCTTTAGTTCCTCATTCTGGTAGCGGCCCTAGCTTCTCTGTTAAGATACTCTTAAAATAGGGAGATTCTTTTGGAATGTAATACATCAGCAGGCAGAAGGTAAATTTTCGTGATGAACTTGCTCCTGCAGATACTGTATTTGGTATAAATTGGAATGATTTGGAGGATTTGATATTAATATTGTAGGTTTCTCATACCCATTTTTCTATTTATTGATTAGTCGTGTTAGGCTTTTTCCTCTCCCCCTTATCAAGCTTTATGGGTTGTTTGGCTTGCGGCTGGCTTAGCCTTTGCTTTTGCTACTTGAGTTCACATTCTTTGATCTTTTTCCATGCTAAATAAGAAAAGGCTGCTTGGACATTTATGAGGCTTCAGTGGGGCGAATTTGTAAAAAGATACCAGAAATATAAGGGAATGAGGATGATGATTAGGAAGGGGATTTGGATTTAAATTCCTCCGTGCTTTCTTCAAAAGACTGCTTTCTAGGTTGAGGTGGGGGAGAGGTGTCTCTCTGAGAGCCAGTAATTCACCCCCATAATTGCAAAACATAATGAAGATCCACCATTATGTGCATACTTTGACCTATGGCCTAGCAAGCCCTATCTTTTCAGTTGGAATTTTATATTCTAGTTGTTTCCACCATCAGATGAATTGCTAATGAGCTCTGCACCTGAAATGACTACCCATTCACTTTGTTTTTTGCTGGGCTCCCTAAGGGCAGAGGTTTTTGAAGCTCCCTGAAATGCTGGACACCTACTAAGCTAAATACTGAATAATCTTACCACTGGGCTCATTGAATTGGTTTCTCAAACCAAGTAAAAAGTTGCAGTGATTCTTGGAAATTAAAGCCAAGCCTATGTTAGAACTGTTGAGGTCTTGCATGGAACTGTATACATATAGAAGCAAAGGCAGATTAGGGTTTTGAGGATAAACAAGCTTGTCCTGTGTATTTATCAAGGGACATAGATGAGAAAACAACCACAACAAAACTCAGAGCCTTTAGAATTTTTCACCAGTTTGCAAAATTGCTCAAGAATTGCAGGTGCTATGTTGAGGTTCTATTAATGACAATGACTAGTCTAGGATGAGAACTGGACGTTTGTTCTTCTTTTTCATTAAGAGATTTCCTTTGGACCCTAGGCATGTGGGCCTTACCAGTTTGCACCACACACCGCAGTAAACACAACCGTCTTCCAATCAAAAGTGTTCTTCCTGTACTCAAGGGTGGAGTTTTCAAGCAGCTGGTCTGTGATTGGGCAGATTTTCATTCAGTTAGTTTAAGATGTTTTCAGGCATGCTTGGTTTTGAGTAATGCATAGCAGGGCGCCCCCTGTTAAGGATGAGTAATTGAGGGTTGGATGAATGAGTTTTTGAAGTGATTGAAAACACTTCTCAGTTTTAGGCTCCATTAATACCCTCTTTCTAAATACTTTTTAATGCTGAAATGTTTCAAAATGTAGCCCTTCTCCATTTAGTGAACCCTTTTCTGGAAAACAATACCAAAGCCATGTACTACCTTAAAATGAAATATGAAAAACAAAAAGTCAGGATCCTGTTGATTGGGAGTTTTCTTGATAAGGATTTTATAGTGGCCATCTTCATCAAAGCTATGCTAACAAGTAACTACTGAGATTTTTAGATGTAATAGGGAAAAAGCCTCCCTGCCCTCCATGGAATAGTAGCTTTATTTGTGTTTCTAAATAGGCTAGTTTAAAAAAAATAGTCTTGTTGCAAGATTAGTTTAATGGATTTTTATGCATTTATTTTCTGACTCTTAAGTCTGTCCTCTTTGTGTTTTAAATCATTATTGGTTCACGTGAGTTGCAGAGACCTTGGGACCTTCATATATGTAGGGATGGTAGATAAAACACAAAAAAACATGGGTTTTCCTTTTCCTTTTTTTTCTTTTGTGTGTGTGTGTGTGTGTGTGTGTGTGTGTGTGTGTGTGAAAAATCAAGACTTCTGGTTTGTCGAATGTCAAACAACGAAAAGTACACATAGGGAAAGCCAACAATCTAGCTCTCACAGGCTTCCACTTGTAAAAGAAGGCTTTGCTCAACTTAACAGTAGTACAAAAAATATAGAAACATTCATCTATATACAAAAGGTTGCTTTTTTTTTTATCAGAGGGTATCACACTGCACAATATCTGCAGCCTGCTTCCCCCTGCGCCTACTTTTTAAAGTAAGGACTCTGGTTTTTTTTTGTTTTTTGCTTTGTTGTTGTTGTTGTTGTTTTTAATTTTATTTTTAAATAATCTCTATACCCAACATGTGCTCAGAACTTACAACCCCGAGGTCAAGAGTTGCAGGCTCTACCACCTGAGCCAGCCAGGTGCCCCTGTCTTCATTTCCATTCAACATTATACCGTGGGCATCGATACCTATAGATCTTACTCATCCTTTTAGGTAACTACATTGTATTTCAAAGAATAGATGTACCATCATTTGTTCTGTTATTCCTCCTTATGCTGTTCAAGATATTGAAAAAAATTTTGGTATTACAAATAATGCTGTGGTTAATAAACTTGGGTGTATATCTTGTATAATTATGGTTTTATTTCTGTAGTTTAGAGATTCAGGAGTGGGTTAAGAGCTATAAGAGTATATGCATCTTTTATTTTATTAGGTAATGCCAGGTTATTTTCTAGTAAGATGATAGCATTTCATAATCCCACCAGCGTTGTGTGCATGCAATGCTGCTTTCCCTTTTACCTTTGCCATCATCAGTCTTTGTCATTTTTGGCACTCCAATGGGTGAAGAATAATACAGCAATTTCATGACTACTGGTCTTTTTCTATGTTTATTGGCTGTTTGTGTGTGTTTTTTTTTTTAATGAGTTCTATGGCTATATTTTTCGCCCATTTGAAAAAAAAATAGGTGTCTTACCACTCTGTACAAGTTCTGTGAATTTTCAGGATAGGAACCCCTTTACTTCACAAGTGTGTTGCAGTTATTTTCTCTTCTTCATCTTCTGACTTGATGAGTTGTCTTGCCATATAGAAAAACAAAATGTTTATATTATCAGATCTCTTGGACTTTTCTTAATGGCTTCTAGGTTACTTACTTGGGGATAGCTCCCCTATCTTGAGCCTATATAAATGTTGTTCAGTTTATCTTTATTTTTACCTTGAAATCTATGGTCCACCTGGAATATTTTTGCAAATGGCGTGTGAGGTGGGGGATCTAACCTGCTTCCTACTGAGTTACCAATGGTGGCAGCACCAATTTTATTAAGTAAACTGCCCTTTGCTTGCTGTTTCTTAGAATTAATTGATGCCTTTATTAGCACTGATTTGTTTTGAATGTGTCGATCGTAGCTATCACAGCTATCCAGAACTTGGAAGAGGAGTGAAAGCATATCTGCCTTATTTCTTTATCCCTCAATCTTTCATCTTTATCTGGAGGAAAGGTGGACTCTAAAGTACTACTTTCCTTTGATTCCAGATAATGTAGTAATTGTAGCAGTGTCCAGACTAATACCATGTTTCTTCTATCTGGGAATCTTCCAAGAGGAATGAAAGCTTATCTGGATCTGCCTTATTGTTTTACGTCCTCCTCCTAGTCTCAGGTTAGGTGCACTTTAAAATACCTCCCAACTTTGTTTGTAGGTAATGTAATGATTATAATCAGGTCCAGGACAATACCATATTTCCGGTCCACAGTCTCAACCTGTGTTCACACAAACCTAGAACTCCAACCCTAATTGAAATGGGAGTTTATGGATGTTAATGATTATCCTTAAGTGTCCTTTTCTTATAATTTCAGAAATTCAGTAAAAATCTGCATGATACATGATAACGCTGTTTATTAAAGTAAATAGTATATGGTTTTGTGGATCAGTGTTAGCTTTAGAGAACTTTAAATAAAAGTGAGATTGTATACATGAATATGTAATGTTTAAGTGTGAGCCCCTCTAACCGCACATTTCATCTTAATTCTCTTAGAGGAGGAGATCTATTTTTGAGACATTGAGCCATCCTTGAGTTTTTCAGGCACTTAGGTGCTTCATATTGTTCTTTTCTTTTTAACTTTGTCTTGTGTGTCTAATTGTTAACAGTTGTCTCTTACTTTGTGTTTGCATTCTGTTTATTTTAGAGCTGTGTAGT